CCAGATGGTGTAAAATATACAAATTATAAAATATCACATACAGAATATACACTGATTTCATACTGAGTAGGATCCTTCGTTTGGATAAAGCGATAAAATTTGTTCTTTTGTTCATTTCTTGCTTTATCTCTCTCACTATAGTATTCATAGACAGAAAAACCATCAAAGCAAAGAAAAATGAAACATAAAAGAGCACAGCAAAAAGCGGCATCATTGATGTCTACCGTTGAATATAGTGTAATATACCGTGAAAATCCACACTGGAGAATCCGGGTCCAAAAAGTGTCGCGATCCCAACGAGATCGTTGCGCCGTACAATGTAACTCGTCGCGCTGATTTCGAATATGTAAAAATCTCGAGGGTCGCTTCTCTACAAAAAAAACCATCAGATTTTAATGTTTTTTTCTTAGGAAGAACAGAACACACGTTGCAGCAAGCAAATTTTCCTTATATATCGCTGCACAGTTTTATCAATATCACGCTTTTAATAAATTGTGACCATGCTACATTTGAATCAGTGTGTCCATGGTCTCCATAATTCGCTGAAACGTAATTGAGGTCCAAAACGAAATGTATGTTGGCCTGGATTCACCTTCATTACTCCTTTTCGATAATAGTAGCGGATTCCTCTAGAGAAAGTATCATAGGTCATTCTCTTTTTGCTCTTTCTTCCTTTGATATATTGCCACAAATCAGCAACATCATCTGGTTTGTGCAGTTTAAATATGCCTTCTTTAGGAACCACATAAGTTGCCAAATGATGATATTCTGGATTGTTTAACAATCGACGGAGAAACTCGTGCAGAAGCGGGCGTCGTTCCCGTTTTGTCGTACTATCAACCACTAACCAATCAGCAATATCAGCTACTCGTGATAACATTCTCGGGGGAGTTGTTGGCAAGAGAGTGGAATGATCCATAGAAGTTGAAAAGTTGAAACTGGAACCATTGAGTTTTTCTGATAATTTATTTGAAACCGGAACAGTTGGAAACGGAAACATTCCATTTGTCAAGCTCTGCGCTTCCACTTGTTGCTGTTGATGAAGGATATTGACTTGACCAGATGTGAAACTGTTGGATGGACTGACACCACAGTATTGTGGTGTTGCCAGTGATCGTAATAACGTTATCAAGTCTCCTCGGAAGATGGATTCCTCTTGATCATTCAGGAAAAGTTTTGAAATAGATCGGTCTTGAAAATAACCTGAGTGAGTGTACCCTCTTGTATTGTTTACAGTTTGAAGAATATCAGCACGTGAATATAGTTTGGCCTCATCTGAAAACGGTTGCTGTTGACAACCGGACTTCCTCCAATCACAGTCGATAACTGACCACGATTGTTTTTCTGGTTCAAATTTATCGCCTGAACATTGACTCGAAATTGGTGATTGTGCAGCAAACATCTCTTTAGTAAATAACATACGGTATAGTGGTGTATCATTGCTTATATAGGAGACTCAAGTTCCTACAGGTGAAAAATCAAATAAAGAGAGAATGTCTCAAGCAAGGAAGCTGACTAATAGATGAAGGGATATCAGATATACAAATAAGATAAAAAATGAATGTTTTTCCATGGTGTGTATTACTAGTTAGGACACGCGTAAAGGTTCGACTACTAGGATGGCAGAGAGAAACTGTTCCACATCTTTCACTGGCATATCCTTCGTTTAACACACATAGTGTAAAGATCGTCAGAAGAATATACCTAATGTATATATTGCACCTTCTCAGATTAAAAAGTTAACAAATTTGAAGGTACCCTTCTCCGGTTTTTCTGGCAGTTTGTGGTACACAACTGGTACTGTATACCATGCTATTTTTTAGTAAAAGGTACCGTTTAGTTTTTCAGTTATAAGGCTGCCAATATCATAGCTAAACGCATGAAAAAGTAAGTATCTACGTCAATATAAAAGCTACATGAGTTTTCACAGAACTTCCTGACCTACCATGACTTTCCGGCTTTCTCTTCGGGCCATGATAGTCAGAGGTAATGTATGTAAAACAGAAATAAAAGTAGTTAAAAGGCTGCTGTTATCCATAGTCAGTGTTCAGTTAGATGAAACTTTCTTTCTACGCACACTATAGAGAAACAGATATAAAGCAAGAAATGGAGAAAAGGACAAATTTTATCGTTTTATCCAAAAGAAGGATTCTACTCAGTATGAAATTAGTGTTTATTCTGGCAAATTCCCAGATTAAAAGGTTAACAAATGTGAAGGTACCCTTCTCAAGTTTTTCTAACAGTATGAAGTAAGTTGTACTTACACAAGTTGTACTCTATGCCAAGCTATTTTTTGGATAAAGGTCTCTTTTAGTTTTTAAGACATAGAGCTATCAATATCACAGATTAGAGTTAGCAAAATGGATGCATTTTAATTTAACTTTAGTAATGACCAACATAGTGGAATGACCAACATAACTTTCTTGATCGCTTTTCGGAACATCATAGTCAGAGAAGCCCAAGTTCTACATTTATTACTCCAGTGAAATCACTAAAATTAAATTGAAACGCATCCATTTTACTAACTTTAATCTGTGATATAGACAGTTCTATATCTTAAAAATTAAAAGGGCTCTTTTTCTGGAATATATAGTACAATTTGTGCTCCAAATTAGTGTACGAAGTGGAAAGGGATTCTGTCTAATTATTTCAGTTTTAATTAGGGAAGTGGGCAGAATACAGAATTAATTTACAGTTAGGGTACATTCGATAATCCAGTCTTTTTCTTACTTTGTTTGTTAAAGAGATAACGTGTTGTATGCTCATATACAAGAAAACTGACATTTTTGCCGAAATTTCTTCGTTTTATTCTGGATAGAATAAATTAGTTTTTGCGCGTAATTTGTATACATTGTTGCATATTTTCCTGTAAGAATTATCTATAGCAAAATAGGCAAAAGTGTAACCAGATGGTGTAAAATATACAAATTATAAAATATCACATACAGAATATGCACGCTAAGTGTAACTAATAACGCACAGTCCGAATATCTAAGTTTCAAAAATTCCCTTTCTCTAGAAAAAAACAGGGATGGACGAGACAAGCCATTTTTCGAGTCGAGTCCGAGTCATTTTGAGATACTTTCGAGTCGAGTCACCGGTGTTTCCGAGTCGAGTCAAGTCGAGTCAAACTATTTTTTCGATTATTTTGTTTTCTGTTTATTTTGATAAAAATATTAATAACAAGTTTCATGACACATTATCCAGTTCCTAGTTTTTGATCCAGACGCTCGGATATTTCCATATCCAAGGTATCATGAACCTTATAGTTGTGGATTTTTAACAATAAAGCATGCGTGTATATAACGAATACATTTTTTAGTCTAGAATAATGTAGCTATTAGTCAATAAAAGCAACAGTGTTTCCTAGAGAATAACTTCACTTTTTATATACATGTAGATGGGCGAGTTCAAGTCAAAACTTGGACGACTTGGATTCGAGTCGCATTTTGTTCAAGACTCGGACTAGAAAACTGAGCAAAGTTGACTACTATCCATTTCAAAAAAGAAGAAGCACGGCCATTTCTTTGATAACTTTTTCTAAGAAGCAGCTAAAAAGGTGCGGTTTTCAGTATCGGAAAGCGAAATGTTGGGGTAATATG